TGACATGGGAATAACGTTTCAACATTCATAAGCTTTTCAACCTTCACTGAGCCAAAATTTTGAAACCTGCATCATAACAGATTATTAAGAATAGAAACATGCTACACCCTGAGGGATCTTTAATTAACAAATAGGACATTCACAATCTTAACCAATAAACAACAGTCTACAGTTTATAATGTATAATATTGAAGGTATCACAAATGATGCAGCATACTATCAACTAAGGAAAAAAATTTGGAGACGACTAGAAATTAAAGGCAACCTTTCCAACATCATTACGTCCCAGGTCAACCAGCATTATGTGTTCTGCACATTGCTTTGCATCATTTAGCAACTGCTTTTCCAACATCTCATCTTCAGCAGTTGTCTTCCCTCTCCTGACTGTCCCAGCCAATGGGCGATTCACTATCTTTTTCTGATAAAAAACATAGAAGCAAAAATTGTTGTCACCTAATGATTACAAATAACAAAACTTTTAGTTGTCAAACCTAATTAGTTGCTGTTCAAAACTAGCGTAAACTTATGCAGGCTATGAGATTTTTCAGCCAGATCTATATCAAAGCATCAAACTGCAGACTGGAGCCCTTTACCTTCTCAACCCGAGTAAGAATTTCTGGACTTGATGCAACCAGGATACACCCTCTAGCCTGATGGAGAAGAAATGTTAATATCCGAAAATGCAATAACCAAATTATTCAGAAAGTGCATGTCAGCTTTATTTACAATAACAAATAGTTTAATTAGATGATGCACTAACTTGTAAGTAGGTCATATATGGACTGGGATTGACAACTCTCAGAGCCCTATAAACTTCAAAAGGATCAGCAAATGTACGGCGTTCAAAACGTTGACTCAATACAATCTGGAAAATATCCCCTGCTAGTATGTGTTCTTTTGCCTCTAGCACAGCCATCTTGTATTCTTCACTTGTCATGGTTGATTTCCTTAAAGAAGGTCCAAACTGTCGAGTTTGTAGGTCTACAGAACCTGGAGACAGCCTTGGCCTAGAAATTGACCATCAAAGTCAAAATATACACACAAAGGTTTAATGAAGTTCATGGAAGGCCAATACACAAAGATCCAAAGAAAATGATAGTTACTGACGGATCAATATCCTGTACTTTAGCCACTAACTTCTCCAAACGTTTCAGTCCATCATTATAAGCTTTCTCAGCAGAGGAGTATTGATCTAGCCTCACCCAATGAATCACATGGGCTTTCTGAAAATAGACAAATCCTTGGATAAAATACCTCAACACTTCACAAGCAAGTCAAAGTAACAGTGAAATAGCTTTGACTCTTTTTCTTAATGCTTTCTCTTTCTAGCCATCTTAATCAAAGTATATACATTTATGCTTTCTCCTAGTTGCGGGTGAAATTTATTTAATTCCAACATCTCCAATATTGTGCAAGGCAACTAGGTAGGTGCTTTCAAACCAGAATAAACAATTGCAGAACAAAATGGAAAAAAAAGGGGGGGAAATAGAAAAGCAAAAAAAAAAAAAGAAAGAGAAATGGAGATGAGGAAGAAATCACTGAGAGAACATATATGGTGGTATTAATGCAACTTATACAACGGTACCTTCTCCACGTGATCAAACACAATGACATCATCATAGAGGCCTAGATGTATGTCCGCAAGGTTTCTGTCGTCTTCTGGTGCCATTGAAAATGGCAGCTTTTTCTTCTCCACATAGCGGATAGTATCATATGAGAAATAACCAACCCATCCCCCTATGCATTGCAGCAGTTTATCACTATGGTTTAAATGAGATAAGGAGAAAATATTGACTAAAGTGCATGCACCAAAGAATCTAATAAAAACAACATCTCTACATTATTATAAGGCGAAATTTCAGTTACATGCTTAACAATGGATCACAATAGAAACAGACTTGACATACTTCTATCTTTAAGTTTAATCTCTACTACATATAGCCATAGTTATTGATAATTTCTGGCCAAATCCAGAACATAGGACTGCAGGTGCCAACATTATATAATAATAGAATCTAATCCTGACCTCTACAAAGTAATTAAAATGCTTATGACTCTTAATATCATTTGTACTACAAGTCATTGGTTGCATTCCTCAGAAATCCCACCCACATAAAGTGCTCGTTTCCAACTGCAGTGGATATTCTTGATGGGCACAATTATGGAAACTTAAGATGGATAAATGAAGCATTTGTCCATATTTTGGAATTCTCTCAAATGTTTCAATTCATAGTTACCTTAAATGGAGTACCCTATATTTTTGGTGCAGGGTAGAGGCACGAAATATGGTAGATGTTTTGAGTTTGGTTTTGATGGGAGCTAGGCTTAACAATTGGTAGGATGATGTGGTTTGAAATTCATTGAACCATATTACTGGTTTGAAGTTCCAATCCAATTTCATGAATAGTAATTCAGAATTAAGTTATACATTGATTCGACAAGTAAAATTCTATCTAGGTTCAAATCCTCTTATAATTAAAAAGACATTAGATCTCTTTTTTAAATGCTTCACAACTTTGAACAGTAAAGAAAATTAACAGACGAAATGTTTGAAAAGAAATAATTAATACTACTACAAGGTGCCAAAGGAAACAGACTAGACTGGGAACTAAATGTTTAAAATTTTAGAAAGCTAACAACTAACGTCAGTTATCTCTTCTAAGCAGCCAACATTTAAAATTTTAACAGCTAATTAACTACTGATTTTTCAATAATTTCCGAGAAGAAAATTAAAACAAGTTTCATTAAATTACCAAAGTTCCAATCACATAATAAAGGTAAAGTATATTTTACACTCTAGGTATTTCAGAAGAAAATTTAAAATTGTTGTAAGTTCTGAAGGACAAAGAATGATGTTTACATTATTTAGAAATAATTAGTGAAGGGCGTGGACTCTTATCTCTAGTAGTCTGGCTCTTCACCCTTCAGATTTAATTCAACCTTCCACTCAATTTCCTACACTCTAATGTTTTCTTCTCTTATCTTCTCTATCTAAGTTTTAACCTCAGAATGGCAGATTGAGAATCCCGCTGTTTCCCTCATCTAATCTCCAGATTTTAGAAATTTCTCCTAGAACTTGAGAGTAGTATTTATATGCACAAAAGATATCTGCAGCAAAAATGAAAATGATTCCTCTCTACACACTCTGAACTTTCACTCTGGGGGAAGAAACTTAGATTTGATTCTCTCATTGGCTATCCAGAACCAAAGGAAACCAAAACTGAATTCGAATTGTGATCCACATCGAAATTTTTGAAACCTGAATTAAAGAGGGTCTACACAATCCAGTTAACTATGATTCAAACAAAATCCTTAGAGTTTTGTGGTACTGCCAAGTATCAGCAATGCATGAATGGTTTAGCAATACAAGTACCAAATGAGTGAAAATCTGATATCTTCATTCTGTGGCAGGAAACCATGATGGAATCACAACTAACTCTTCCAAATGTAGAGCATGTATAGGTTTTATTTGTTCTAAAGGAAAACTCATGCACCAAAACCACAAAGATTGTTTGGTTTAAAGGGGTAAAAAACAGAGAGGCGGGAGAAGGGGTGTAGTTCCATTGATCTATCCATTATAGTAGTTCAAATTTAAACAACTCAACATATCATAATCAGCTCATAATCAGTGTAGATTCTTTCTGAAATATGTCATTTATCAGCAGAGTTATCTTACCACAAAATGTATCTGGAAGTTCGTCAATAAGTTGAGGTTTCCAACCCTCTGAAATTCTCCTCGGAATCATCATTGGATCTTGAACATACTCCTCAGACAAAGTACCACCTTCGTGGTCCATTATGGTCACTTTATTTTCTTTTGCCACAATTTCAATTGTTGGCTGAGCTCCAACAACGCTATAACGACCCTATTACAATCAAATCAATATCAAACACAGTGTGCATTTGAACAGATTCATTTATAACAATTTTGTCACAAATAATTCAATATCGAACAACAATAAATAATGAGAATCGTAAATCCAATACAAAGGAGCAAATAAAGAAACGGTTCTTACAACACTTGAAGCCTGAAAACCAGGTTCCACTGATTCAAAGAGAAAGCTTGGAGCCTCTCGATCATCTTCTTTGACCAAACACCGGTAAGCAAGAACTGGAGTCAGCTGATCAGAGAATATAGAATGGTACAGGGGAACTACGTTTCCATGTTTTGAAGCTTCCGCGAATTTCTTCACATCACATACTGTTGAAACGGAAATCCAAAAAAAAAAAAGCAGGATATCACTTGTGAGTAAAAATATCAGATATAGAAGAGAACCGAGCAAAAGAGACTCAAAGCGCAGTTGTCAACCGCAAGATGGGGTTAAAACATTGCATCCGACACAAGAGTTGAAAATCTTGACTCCTTCCTTTCCCGCGTTTTCTTTGTAACCAAGTGGAGATAATAAAAAATTTCAATCCGACAAGTAAAAACCAAAGCACAGAGAAAACTACGTAGTAAAACACCATCTATATGCAGAGAAATGGCGGAAAAGAGAAAAAGACGGTTATCACCATTTTGAATCAATCAAGAAAAATTACGCCCTCAAAAAGCTTGCTTCAATAATTTTTTTTTTAGCTTGAATCAATGTCAAAAATTCAATCTCCACTCAAATTATTAGTTCCCTCTATGTCTATCACCACATTTTCTCAGCAACCAAACAGTTTACTGAAAGAAGTACGAGATCCAATAACATTTGATTCACCTAGCGAGGGGCTCGAGAGAGACATGCATTTGAATGTACGAACATTAACAAGTGAGCTCGACCTTGCACCGGAAATGCCATTGGCCGGCACCGGAGAAAACCGCCTTCCCGAGGGGACCAGGCGGTAAGAGAAGCCTAGGGTCTGCATTGCATCAGTATTCAAATAAAACCAACGGGTTCTTGTAATCCCCGGTAAAGGAAAGAAGATGTGACCTTTCTAGTTTTGTACTAGTGTTTTTTCTGTTGACAGTCTATCCCTCTGGCTTTGCGTACCGAAGTCTCGGAAGAAACAGAAGCAGAAAATGCCGAAGGAAAAATGTGAGGACGGAGACAGTTAAATAAAGGGTGTGATTCAAGTAGTAAATTTCCTATTATGCCCTCTTGATAATCATCTGTATAATTTTGGAGATTTTATCTTCTTCTTCTTCTTCTTCTTCTTCCTCTTCCCCACCCCCAACAAATTTCATAAAAGAAAAAAATTTTCATAAATGTTTTACCTCAACATTAAATTTGGTACGTCCGAGTGTTGACTTAATAAAAATATTTTATATCTATTCTTTTTTTGATTAACCATAAATTTAGAATCTGTTATTTATTAAATTTTCATTAAGAGAAAGTTAAAAACACTTTACTAAGTTTACCTCGACATCTTATATGTTAGAGTTTACAAAAGATGTATACGTTTGGTGCATTATGTATATATTTAAATTTTATACTAAAAAATATTATACATTTTTTATTTCTCATGAGTCTTTTTTTTTTTTTAAATACTGTAAAATAACAATATAACTCATCTCATCTTTTCATAAATGAAAATATTTTTGGATTAATTCACATGTTTATTCAAATGATTTTTCACTACAGTACATTCAAATTAAGTTATCGTAGAAAAATCAAACACAAACAAAATAATTTTAAAAAAAAATATGAAAAATGGTATTTTTGAATTTTCAGAACATCAACATCGTTTGCTCCATTTTTAAATAATCTATATATCCGTATAAATGAAATACATATAAAATTTAAAAATGAAACTCAGAAAACATTTTCATATGTCAAACATAACTTAAAAGTATCCCTTGAGTATGAAGTTTCTCATAATCCATTCTTACTTCCCACATAAAAAATATTTGAAATGAGAATGAAATGGGTCAAACCTAAATTTCATATTCTAATTCCTACCAATAAAGCTATTATGAAAAAAATAAAACTAAAAATTAACTAAAGAACAAAATGAGCCATTAATACTGTGGGCATAACCGATGCCTACTACCCCTTTCAGAAATTGACCGAATAACAAGAAAGAATTATTAGTCTAAGATAAGAAGATGCATTACGCACCTTGACACTTTGGATTCAATTCTTGCTAGTAACAATCTATAAATAAAATTATAAATGCGTTAAGACTGATTCGGAATGCACTCTTAATATCGTTCACCATGTATAAAAATTTAACTTAAAAATGTATTTATTACTGAAAAAAATCTAAACGAACATTTGTAACAGTTGGCTTGTAAATATTCCTACCGTCTGAAGAGAATAAATTGAATGTCCTAAATTATTAGTATGTATATTAGGAAAGCAGGGAATGCACCTTGTATACATAAAGAAACTCTAAATACTTTCTTAGTTGCTCCTTTCTTCTATAAATTCTTCAAGCTCAGAAAGCATAATTAAAAACACTTGATTTCACTATTAAAAAAAAAAAAATGGAATAGAATAATATATATATTCACCTGATCTATGATGCAGTTACCAGCTACTATCCAAGCGAAGATATACGTATATGTTTTAGCTAACATTTCATTGTATACCTCCCTCTGTACGACTAGAAATTGGTCATGACTTCATCCGTAAAAGGAAATGGGTAGGGTAAGCATACCAGCAATCCTAAGACCAAAACTAAAATTCCAAGGGCAACATATTTGTCATCAGGATCCGTGATTTCCTCCGAGAGAGGAGCAATGGGTCCCCTCTGCAAGAAAAATATAAGAACTACCCAGTAAAATGCCACATCATTAAATAGTGAAGCTAGCCCCAGCAAACCGATAGAGGCAGCTGTTAACCGTGCTGAAGCCTGTTAAAATCGAATTTTCATCAGAATTTTGTATGAATTCACAGGCAGATGAAAATATTTTATCAAAGTTAAATTAGCTGGATGAAACATAGTGAAAAATGAAACAGGTACCTTTCTTCCCCATATTGCGAAAGAAATTCGTCCTCCATCAAGCTCTCCGGCAGGAATGCTGTTAATGGCATTGATAAGAAGTCCCGCCCATGCCCAAATCACGAGGGGATTAAGAGAGATCGGAGTTCCTTCCTTGAGTGCATCACCAAGCAGAAGTTTGGCTGTTAAAAACAAAGCAACAACATAAACACAAATGCCATCTGCCTTACAAATACTAGAAAAGAGGCAAACATCAACAATAACTAGACTGCCAAAGAATTATGAAATTGCTAAAGAAGAAACAAAAATGGGAAAATATGAGCTACTACTGAAACAAAATTTTGAGATGCAGCACTATCTATAAAGATTTTCAAGATCCATCTTCAATTTAATACATAACATGATACTGCATCTCTGTAGGCAATATACATTTTCTGAAAGTCCTTACCAAGACCTCCTGCAAGAAATGACTCGTGAAAGACGGAAGCATCCACAATAACACCAATACCATCGCTAGGAGGTAAGAAGAATCCAATAAGAAAAAGAATAAGACCCAAAGAAAACCCAGCTAAAGGTCCTGCTGCTGCAACCTTCAAAAGATCTTCACGCTTTGAGACAATATTTTTAGTCCTTGTTATAGCACCAAACGAGCCTATCTGCCATCAAGATAATTCATTAGACTTTTCAGACGTCAATAAAGAAAGCATTTCAGATAGTATTGGACAAAGAAAACAAGACTTCAAAGTCCATTAATATGATAACGATAACGAGACAAGCTAGCCGTACAGATTGCACAGGCATCCCTGATTAGACATCCCATATAAATTGTCTTCAAAGAAGTTGCTGGGTTAGAGAGTCTAGAAAAAGTACCCTAAATTGTACTACTCCTTCAAGGTCAAAAATTAGAAGAGTTCTATGGGCAATTCTATTACTCAGGCAATTAGTGATATGAGTGAATTATCCCACATTAATATTATATGTGCACAAGTTTTAACTTCAAAAGAATTGAGGAACCAATGTTTTTGACAATTATGCGACCTGGGCACAGGAAATTAATATGGCATTATTAGTAATTCCCATAAAAGTTGCTGTCTAAACTGCACCATAAGACAAGGAATTTTGAGTGAGATGCATCTCATTCTGATGAAAAGGAAAAGGTACTATCATGTTCACAGTCCACCAAGCTACCTTGCAGGGCAGAACACACTAACATTCCCATATATTTGATCTCATAGTAAATGATGAGAGGTAAAAAAGGACAAAGGTTCTTTCAACAAACAGTTAGAACAGGCAGCCACATTTTTCACCTGCCAACTTGGTACAAAATATGGCACACCAAGCTTAACTCCAGTGCTTTTGGAGACTAAAATGTGTGCCAGTTCATGTATACCGAGAACAAGTGTAGTCACAAGAGCTCCAGGTAAGCCATTCGTGAGTAAACTGATATTATCAAAAGTTGATCTGCACAATAAAAATATTATTGAAGATGTAAAATAATAAAAATGCAACTAACTTATACTCAAGAAAGATTTTAACAATTGAAAAAAAAAAAACTCACTTATCAGAATAAGAGTAGAATAACATACATAATTAGTAAGTCATAGAAGAAATTTTTGTTACAATTTCTTTTAATTATTGAAAAGCAGAATGACAATAGAAATGATTTGTCCAGCATTAAGGGACAAAATGAATAACAAAAGAAGAAGAATCTTCTAAATATGCCATCCTAGTTAAAGAAAAATCTCTTAAATTCATGACAAAGTGAACCATGTTATGGTCCTGCGACAAGGATCTTGTTACAGAGCAGCTGGGGGTGAAATATTGCCACAAGTCTGCCACTTATTCAACACATTTTCTGCCCATTTTACCTATTCTGAAACCTTGTCATTTGGGGCCTGTTAAAGAGAATCCACCAATGTCTAGAGTGGAGGCCCTCCAAAACCTGATTTTGTATTGTAATTTTGATGATTTTTATTAACACAATCTGTATATATGCATACGCACTGACACACACACACGCATTTCTGACTCAAACCACTAACTTTTAAAAGTTTAAACTCAAGTTATTAATAACATGTAACTTGAGTACCTATTTGAAGCTCAATGGTCATGTAGTTTCTAATGTAGGATTGGCGTATAACAATCTCCATCGATGAATCCTTGATAACCTCATTAAGGCCCAACATCACAATCTTAAATCATAATCCAAAAGTCCACAAGGTTTAAAATCACACCAATTTAGAATCACCAATTTGACACATGCTTTGATATAATTTGTAATGCCTTGGGCTCAAGCACCACTTGTCCAACAAACTTTCGGATCTAAACACTAACCCTCGAAAACTTAAACTCAAGTTATTAATAACATGTAACTTGAGTTTATATATGGAGTTCGACAATTACATATTATTCTAATATGGTATTAGGATATCATAATCTCGCAACGCGTCAGTTGAGGGTGAAATCCAGCCACAAGTTTGCAGCTTGTTTAACAGATTTTCTGCCCTTTCTAACTATACTGAGACCTCACAATTCGGGAATTATTAGACTGAACCCACTGGTCTCTAGAGTGAAGTCATTCTGAATACTTAATTTTCTACAGTAATTCTGATTATTTCTATTGATGCAATCTGTGCACAGTTATCTATAGGGTAGCAGCAGATCTAGCTTTGCTTTCTATGCATACTTTTTATTCTTAAATAACATTAACATAAATTTCCTAATAATTCAAACTCCTTATGATTGTAAAAAATAAATTTTCTAATTAAGCAAAACTCCAAAATATTTATAAACATAAATTTCCTATTTAGCCCAAGTTCATATTTGACTCCAAACTCTTTAAAGAGAATAAAGGAGATTCCTGTTTCCTGATCTGGCCAGGAGTCCCATGGGTATAATGGGTCCCTATAAACAGATCCAACGATGGATCCAAAGGTGCTTTCTGAGACGTATCAAACCACAAATAGGGGTCGCAGTAATGATAACATAGCTAACTAGAAATGCACATAAAAGAAGATAATATAGACTTTTATGGCAGTGTAACAAATCTGGCAAAATTTCAGGTTTCTGACAACACAAGGAGCATGAATCTGAAGGTTAAAAAGAATTTTTTTTCAAAAAAAAAGACAAAAGTGAATGAAATTTTCGTACAGTAAATTGGCCTGCAGGGCAGGCACATTCCGGAGAAGAAGGGTGAACAGTGTAACCAGTCCAAATGCTCCAGCAGCAAACCACTCAGGAACCGCTACAAAATAATGGCAGATCCCTTATAAGTTAGAATCATAATGTCAATGGCAGGTACTTTTCTCTAGGAAAGATATCACATTAAACTACCACTAGTCTCTGGTTGCAAAGTCTGCTTTGGAACTACAACTGCTACTGGTTTATCATCCTCTGGATTGACTAGAAGGAAAAGCTTATACTCATCACCAAATTTATTCTGCACAACCCCGAAAGAAGTTAAATGAACATCCGTGCATGGATCATTCCTAGTGGTAAAAATAGAAGCAACTTGGATAAAGATACCTGCATCCTAGTTGTAATTTTCTCGAAGCTTTTAGAAGCCTGTCCCCGCAAGTTTCCTTTAAACAAAACTCCACCCTAACAAATTATATTGATCAAGCAAAAGAATATTATGTAAGGATATAAAATAATCACTTTTTGGCTAAAGAGAGTCCTTTTTTCTGAAAAAATAGAGCTAATTATTACATTTATCTTCTTTGAATGCATACTTTGTTCCTATAGATACTTCAATTGGAAACCAGGGATTTTAAATTGGTAAAATAAGTTCTTCAGTTTCCAGCCGCTTCAAGCAGAGCCTTCTATGCACCATGCAGAAGTTGAAAAGAAACACAGTGGATGCATCCAAACTCACCTCATATGGTTCTTGGCTAGTCACGAAAAAGGTATCAAAGCCAAATACTTGGTCCTTAAGAATGCCAATTGTTTCCTTTGAAATCCTGATTGATTCATCGAATTGCTGCGGCTGTTCATAAGATCCTTATGAGAAGATATGAATGAGGAAACATGTAAAGAAGATCACTCTTCAAGGCAGGAAATAATATGGCACTAATCACCTTCACACCTGGAAGAGGTGACCCACTGCTGACTTCTACATCATACACATCCTGTTTCAGACACAAAATGAAAGCAGTAAGAACCAAATGAACCAAGTTCCCAAATGAAAACCATTTTCCCTCTTTTCGGAAATTTAGGAAGAGAAAAAGGGAAACTTTAAAAGCTATTAGAAGATATCTATTTGTGGTGAGACCTGGACATAAAACCACCTAAAAACATAAAGTCCCGTGGTCTATCTTGATCAAGTTGTTCAACTAAAATGAACTGTGAGCCATCATTCTTAAACAAGTACCAGACCCATAAATCTAGAGTCCCATAGAGTGACTACTTTACAGAAGAACATTCATTTGTTAAAATCACAACATCAGCCACATTAGTTTGATCAAATCAACAAATATAAGAAAATCGATTCCTATTACCAATTCTTTTGCAATTTTCCAGCTTTCTTTTCTTGCTCTTTACCCGATTTTATAATCGAAGATAAGAGATTGTAGATATCAGTTCCTTATTTTAGGTTACTAATTTGGCTATATAAAGCAACTCAGAAATGCAAAATATAATCAGCCTTCAATAGTAATTGAGTGTATTTCTCCACTTTCTTATAGTATTTCTCATTGTGTGAATCCTTTACAAGCCTGACTTCCTTCTTTTCATCTGTTCTGTCTTTTACTTCTCTTTCAATTTCAACAGTGTGATACCAGAGCCGGACTTTCATAGACATTATATTTCGCGGGTATTTTTCTGTCAACAAGATGAGCAATTTCCAAGTTATTAGCGGAATTAAGAAGCTCAACCATCACATCTATAATACTTGGTCTACATGTATGATGTCTTACATGCAAGATCAAGATTTGTGGGAGGTTGTCAACAGAAGTGAAACTATGCAACCAGAGGCAGAATATACAAATGATACGTTGAGGAAGTCGAAGATAAAAGCGGGCAAAGCAATGTTCACTTTGAAAACAACTAAAGATGATGTGCCAGGCATATCCAGGATGCCTAAACTCCCAAAGAAGGTTGGGTGTGTTTGCCAAGCTGTTCTCAAAGAAGAATGATGCAAAACTCCAGCTACTTGAAAGCGAGTTGTATTATCGGTAGCACAATGTGACATGACGATTGACCAGTACTTTCACAAAGTAAAGTCGTTATGCCGCAAAATTCCCGAGTGGGATCCACAAGCCCAATTCAAGAAATAGGATGAAAAGAATAATTATCCATAGTTTTGAGATTTGAATATAGGGCTTCATTGCTACAATACAGGGATGGCAAAATCAGCCATCACTTGTTGAGGTCGAAAATTTGCTTACTGGTCAATAAGCCTTAGCTAAGCAAATGGGAGGAGTCTCGCTAAAGAGTAACGAAGAAGCACTCTATGCCAACAAAGGCAGTGGGAACTCCAAGCATCATGGTAACGGTGGATATAAAAAGTAACAAGGACAAGGCAAAAAACCATCAAGGCAAAGGGAGCAGTTGTCTGAAGAACCAAGGTAATGTTAAGAAATTTGAAGGAAAGTGTTATAATTGCAGAAAGAAGAGTAATATGGCAAAAGTTTGTTGGTTGCAGAAAAAATTCGTGGACAGTAATGCTGCTACTTCTAAAACTAAAGAAGAATGAGAGATCGAGACACTTTTTGCTACAGAAGAAGAAAAGCTAGCTTTGACAGCAACAACCCCCGACCAAATTGACTATGAGAAAGATTGGATTGTTGATTTGACTTGCTCAAATCATATGACAGGTGATAAGAGAAGCCGTAAAATTTGTCTGAATATAAGGAAACCATTGGTGGTGACAGCCAACAACTCAATATTTCCTATATCTCACATCGGTATATGACAGTCTCCCTTAATATAGTGCTAACAAGTTGCCACTTCAAAATGTTTATTATGTCCCAGGTACAAAGAAAAATCTTATTTTAGTAGCACACTTAACATCTTCAAGACACTTTGTTCTATTTGGTCTGCAAGATGTGAATGTTTATCACAACCTTAAGATTGCAAAAGATCCATTGATGAAGGGAACAGAAACTAGAGTCAGTCTACGTAATGTCCGCAGAAACTGCATACATAGATAAGATGAGAAAGAACGAGACAGCAGACTTATGGCACGTGTATAAGTCATGTTAGCTACTCTAAGCTAGATATGATGATGATGAACTTTAGGTTAAAGGGGCTCCCTCAACTTGAAATAAGAACAGATACAATTTGCACAGAACGCCAGTCTGAGAAAGCACATTAATTGTTGTTTGAAGAGTCCAAATTTAAAGCGAATGAACCATTAGAGTTAGTTCACTTTGATGTTTTTAGACCCAAGAAAGTAAGCCCCTATCAATGGGATGAAGTACGTAGTGACTTCTATTGATGACTTTTCCAAGTATGTGTTGATTTACTTTCAAAAAGAAAAATCAGAAACTTCTTCAAAAGAGTTCAAAAAGGTAGTGAAGCAGAAGTTGGTCAAAAAGTTTGTTTTCTGCACATGGACAACGGAGGAGAGTATATCTCAGACGAGTTCTCTGATTTTCTATGAAGACACCGAATATCCACCAGTTCATATGCGCTAGAACTCCATAATAGAACAATGTAGCGGGAAGAAAAAATAAACACCTTGCATAACTTTGCCAAAGTATGCTCTATATAAAGAATGTTCCAAGATGATTTTGGGCAGAAGCAATGAAGACTACCGCCTATGTGATTCATAGGCTTCCTTAACAAAAGTTGTGTTTTCTTTCACCCTTTGAAAGGTTGCGGAACATGAAAACTAGAGTTAGCTATTTTGTGTTTTTAGATGTATACGTTATGTATTTGTACCCGATCATTTATATAACAAGATTGACAAGAAAGTTGTTAGATGTATTTTTGTTGGATATGACAGTCAAAGAAACGGGTGGACGTTATGTATTTGTACCCGATCATTTATATAACAAGATTGACAAGAAAGTTGTTAGATGTATTTTTGTTGGATATGACAGTCAAAGAAACGGGTGGAAATGTTGTGATTCTATAACTGGAAAGAGCTACACATCACGTAACATGGTGTTTGGTGAAACATCCTCACGGTAATCCATAAAAAATGAGACATTACCAGATTCAGATAAATTGCAATCTACTCAGCTCCAGCTGGGTTTTTGAAGATACAGATGATGGTGGCAAAGTCAAAGAAGGTGTAGCTCAAGGCCCTAGCAAACATGTGTACTTAAACAATCAAGTGAAGAAAGGGAGCCTAGTGAAGCCGAAGCACCAAGGATATCAACAAGAATCAGAAAGCCAAATCCCAGATATGCCAACACTGCTATAATGGAAGAAGAAGATGTAAAGAAAATAACCGGACACATATGAAGAAGCATCTGGGAGTTTGGAGTGGAATAAAGCTATGAAAGAGGAAATTGTTGCATTAGAACAAAACTAGACGTGAGAGCTTGTACCAAAACCAAAAGATGTGAAGCCTGTTTCTTGCAAATGGATTTATAAAATAAAGTGTTGCATAGATGGACCAATTGAAAGACTCAAAGCTCGTCTAATAGCTCGAGGGTTCTCTAAAAATATGGACTAGACTATAATGAAATGTTTAGTCCAATTGCAAAGATTACAACTGTAAGAGTTTTACTTGCAGTTACAGCTAACAAAAATTGGAATTTATTGCAAATGGATGTGAAGAATCTGTTCTCGTATGAGGAGTTGAATTGAGAGATTTACATAAATCAACAGATGGACTTTCAGAGTCAAGATCATCTTGAATATGTGTGTAAGCTACAAAAGGCGTTCTATGGATTAAAACAATCACTGACAACTTGGTATTATAAGATTACTATATTTCTGACCCAAAGTGGTTATTCAGTGAACTGCAGATTGTAGTCTGTTTGTCATATCTAATGATGTGAAGATACTGTGCTAGTATATGTAGATGACTTAATCATAACACGAGATTGTAAAGAAAAAATTCTCCAAACAAAGGAGAATTTATCAGTTCGTTTTCAAATGAAAGAGCTAGGGCAAGTCAAGCACTTTCTTGATCTAGAGGTTGATCGTACCGAAGAAGGAATATTTCTTCATCAGGAAAAATATTTCAGAGATTTATTGAAGAAGTTCAAATGATTAAGTGCAAGCCAATCTCGACACTAAGGGAGGCAAATGCCAAAATTTGTGCTCATAAAGGCAGATTTTTGGAAGATACAAGAATGTATCAACAACGGGTAGGTAGTTTGATTTGCTTAATTTTAAGCAGACCCGATATTTCTTATGTAGTTGGTGTAATAATCCAGTACACACAAGATCCAAAAAAGCCTTATTTGGAAGCAATTAGACGAATTCTAAGGTATGTGAAGAACACACTTGATTATGGCATTTTGTATAAGAAAGATGGAGATTGCAACCTAGTTAGCAATTGCGATGCTGACTATGTAGGTGATCATGATACTCAGTGCTCAACTACCAGATATCTTTTTTTACTTGGATCAAGGACAATTAGCAAAAAGCAACCAACTGTGTCTTTATCAACAACTAAAACAGAGTACCGAGCTCAACAATGGCAGCACAAGAGAATACTTGGCTAATACGGCTGTTCAAGGACTTGTGTCACTTTGACAATCAATGGACAGCACCTTTAGGTGAGAATCCAGTTTTTCATGAAAGAATTAAACATGTAGAGATGTATTATCATTTTATCAAGGGGAAAGTTTTGCAAGACGAAATTGAGTTGAAACAGATTGACACAAAAGACTGAGTTGCATAGATGTTCGCAAAAGGCTTGAGTGGCAGCAAATTTTAAAGTTTCCGTCATAAACTCAGGATGGTGAAAATCACAACACCACCCATGTTAATTTGACCAAATCAATAAATATTAGAAAATTGATTCCTATTATCAATTCTTTTGTAATTTTCTAGTTTTGTTTCCTATTCTTTAGAAGTTTGTTGAAGACCTGATTTTATAGCTGAAAATAAGAGACTGTAGCTATTAGTTCTTACTTTTACGTTACTAGTTTGCCTATATAAAGCAACTCAGTTCTGTAAAGTATAATCATCCTTCAATAATTAACTAAGTGTATC